TGGAGCTGAAGTATGGTTCAAATTCTTTAAAAGTAACATCTATCGTCATAAAGTATTTTTTAGACGATGGATGATAATATTTGTACCCTTTTTGAGTAGGAGAATATCAAACAGTGCACATATGAGAGCTTTAGGTTTCAACTTAGTTGTATTTTTAGAATGGACAAAGTAAACACATGCAAATACTTTTGGGGGAATAATATAGGAATTTGTACATTACAAAATCTCTAGAGGATTTCTAAAATTAAGAACTCACAAATACATTCTATTAATAAGGTAGGTGGTTAAGAGAACTGCATCTTCCCAATAACCTTTAGCTATATTCATGGTGAACATTAGTGAACGAGATACTTTCAGTATGTGTCTGTTTTTTTTTCGGTAACCCCATTTTGTTCACTGGTGTAGACACAACTTGTTTAATGAATTATCCCATTATACTCCAACCATTCATATATTCTGTACTATTATTTGTTCTTAAAATCTTAACTTGAGTATCAAACTGTGTACATATCATTTTATGAAATGACTGAAAAAATGAGAACACATTACTTTTGACTTTCAAAAGATAAATCCATGTTAATTTAATACAACAGTTAATGAAAGTAATAAATCTTATATGACTAGATAAGGATGTATTCTCAGTAGGTCCCCAAATATCAGAGTAAATGATTATAAAATAGGTAGGACTTATATGGTTACTCACATGCTATGAATTCCTATGTTTAGTTGACTCCTATACATTACAAAATAAGGAATTCATAAATTTTTTTTAAATAACGTGGAATATAATTATTTTAGAGTAAAAAATGAAGGATGTCCCAACCATTAATATAACTGTAGGATTTTTCTATTGACATCCGTATCTCTGAAGACAACTTGATTTCTAATTCTGTTTCGACTTTTATTTAAAACATATAAGTCATCCTGCAGTTTACCAGTACCAATCGTATTTTCTGTTTGAAGATCTTGAAGGACACAGTAGTTAAGAAAAAATTCAATTTTACAGTTAAGATCTATGGTAAGGGCATTAATAGATAAGAGATTGTCAGAAAAATTAGAGACATGAAGGATTAAAGACAATGTAATGGCCAGAGTACAATTAACGTATCCTGTTCCAGATATGGGAGTATATGATTTATCTTCGACATAGATATGTTCCCGTTGAGTATACGGAAAATAGGTTAGGAAGTTTTTTAGAAAAATCTGTCATGTGTCTGTTAACTCTAAAGTTTATAATTCAAGTATTAGAACTAGAAAGAGTAAAGAGATGAACAATACTTGAGTTTACTAATTTTGACATACCAATGGTTAATGAATGGTTACCCGAACTTGAAACAAATAATTTGCCCACGCCCCAATTGTCCTCCCGGAGGAATATGTGCTTCTAAAAGATCTTTTATACTATGCCCAATTCCAAAATTAGTTCTATACATATGACCCGCAAGAAGAAAAAGAAATGCAATAGCTAAATGGTGATGAGCAATATCGGTCAGCCATAAACTTTGCGTTTGTGGATGGAATCCCCCAAGAACCCGAACTTGAAACAAATAATTTCTTCACTTCTGTCATTATTTAAAAATAACTGGAGCCAGAAAAAGAACAATACCCAACTGCTAATCTCAACAAGATAGAAAGGTTTTCTGATCCCCAACTGCTAATCTCAACAAGATAGAAAGGTTTTCTGATCAGCACCACGGATGCTAAAAATGCTGCAGATGGAGACAAGAGCTGAAGTGTATGTTAGAGCGTAGTAGCAGATCACAAAACCCAAGATGGAAAGGTTCCTCTGATCAGCACCAAGGATGCTAAAAATGCTGCAAATGGTAACAAGAGCTGAAGTGTATGTTGGAGCATAGTAGCAGATCACAAAACCAGGGAGAGGTCTTACTTGAATGGAACACAAGATTGCAAAAATAGAGGAGGCTGAACAACAAAAGAAAACCAAAAAATCCGATGAATAGCCTCTTGTTGGAACAACAGAAAAAATAGCTGAAAAACTGGGCAAGGGAATCAGAAGCTGAATCAGAAGTCGAAACTGAAGCGACTCAGAGGAGCGGCTGAGGAAACCCAGCGGAGGAGCAATGGCCGTGTGCGAACCAAAAGTTGTGCCAAGTGTGCGTGAAGGAACCAAAAGGAAGCAGCGCAAACCAGAGGATTGGGTGTGCGCGAACCAGAGAAGGAAGCAGCGCGAACAGCTGCAAGTGGACGGATCGGAATGCGAACCAGAGGGTTGTGCCACGAACCGCAGCGTGAACTGCTACAGTCAGGTGGAGCCAACAGAGGGCTGTGCGTGAAGGAGCAGACAAGTCTGGTACAAGAACCGGATGAGTTGGGAATGCAAACCAGAGAGCGGCGCGCGAAAGGCTGCTTGAACCACAACAGTCAGATGGAGCAGGCATGTCGGGTAGGGCAAAGATAGTTGCCGGAGTAGCGCAGCTGGCCGCCTGGTGAGACTATCATTCTATTTGGGTGGCTAGTGAGAAGGTTCTAAGGTGTGAAAGAAACCTTAAAAACAAAACTCTAAAATATCTTTATTTTACTTTGATACCATATAGAAATTTAGAAAAAAATATTTACTTTATTTTTACTATATATTTATTGTTACAATTGACTCATATGCATACAATAATTTGTAAGTGCAAATAAAGAAATTTTTCTCACAATAAGAATTCTGAATAATCACAATATTAGAAGAGAAATTAATAACATAACTATATAGGAAAAATAATACGGTCATTTAGGAAACAAAATGTTCATGTCTAACACTTATGATTTCAGGATTCTATTTCCTTTATTTTTTTACTTCTCTATCTGTATTACTCTCCTAGTTAGTATGTTAGACTGCAAAAAATAGGTACATTACTTACTTTTCCATATGTAGTAAGATTTCAGCAGAGAATTGTTCTTTCCTCATCATTCTGGTTCTCTTGCTAGTTGAATCATGCCCTAGCTTGATTATTTTCTTTAATGCCTATTTCTCTCTCAAATGTCTCTTCTTGCTGTTTTAATTAGAATTTCATTAGTTTTTGAGGGTTATTGCCTAAAACCAGGCGTTGCATATCTTTTTTATCCAAAATAATACATTTATTTCTTAACAATGGAACTCCTCTCTTTTTCTTTGACATAAAAAGAATGCAGTATATTAAATCAGACCATGGAACTTCTGATTGCAGGTTACTAATGATGAAGCCAGGTTAGTTGAAATATCCAAACTTCAGAAAGCAATGGAATCACTGGGCCTTGAGTTAGATGCCGCTAAGCTGGCAACAATTAATGAGTGTAACAAGAATGTGGTGCTGCAAAATCAATTGGAATTGTCATTGAAAGAGAAGTCTGCTTTGGAAAGAGAACTTAGTGCAATGGCCGAACTGAGAAAGCATAATGCAATGTTGAGGGTGAGTTTTAGAGATCATAACAATGCCTTTTAATTTGTATTTTCTGCTTTTGGTGTGTTAGGTATTTATTTGTTTTCATATTTGGTACTCTATGAGATTGCAATAGGGGAATAAAATGAAAAAGTATGATGTATTGAGTTTCTTGTGGCTGGGAGAAGCAACAACTAATTGATGGCAATGGAATGGCTGTTGCTGGGATCTCTGTTTTGCCCTTTGTGGGAAATAGAATCCTATCACGCTGCTATTGGAGAGGTAAAAGGATCAGGGGATCAGGAATACATTGATTGTCAAAAATAAGGAGGTGCACATAGCTTGAGAAATTGGTGTTCAAATGGGCTATACGACTATGCTAGAGTTGAAATTTGTTTTTGGTTCTCCTGTTATTTGTTAGTAGGTCCATTGTGAGTGAATTATGGGCTTGAGATGGCTTTCTGTTTTGTGGGTTTTTCTTTTGTCTCTTTTTTTGTTTTTTTTTGGGGAGGGGAGGAAGAAGCTGGTCTCTCCTATCCCCTTATTTATGTTTCTGGTTACCAGGAAGGAGATTGTTCTTTCAATAGAATTAGTTTTATTCTCATCAAAGTGGAGAAGATCTTGATGTTTTCTAAGATATTTCTGTTTATCTGATGTAAATTCCTTTGTACATGGGTAGCACCATCTCTGAATGATAGTGTTTTTTTTTTTGTTTGAATTGCTTTTGTTTCTGTGAAAGACAGTTGCGTGGTTGATGGTCTAGTGAGTATGTATGAAGAACTACTTGAAAACATTAAAGTAGGCACATAATGCCAGCTCATATTCAATTCTTGTGCACTTCAAGTTTCTTAATCATGGGATGTGCCTTCTTGTTAAGGGTTGTCCTGGGCAACTGGTTAATGATTTTCTGTCATGATATAGCACCCATCCACATGAATTCAAGTTTGAGTTCAATACTCCAGGGAAGGCATGTCTACTGCAGCATCATTTGCTGAATATCACACATGTTTTCAACTTATTATTTTATTTATTCCTTGCTGAATATAATTAGCTTTTTGATGGAATTATCCTTATTTATCAACCTTTTTGTTATTGATAGAGTTCTATGGATAAATTGGAAAGGAAGAATTCGGCTCTGGAACTTGAACTTTCTAAGGCTAAGCAAGATAGTACAGATACAATCAACAAGTTGCGGGAAGTTGAACAGAAGTGTTCTCAACTCCAGCTTAGTGTTCAGAGGTGTTTATTCATCTTTGTAAAAAATTATTTGATTTTGGGAGTGTGGTGTATGTCTTTATTTGTTGTTGGTTGTGGCAACTCTTTGACTGTTACACTGAGTCTCTGTTTATTGATCAAATCAGCCTTGAGGAAAAACTTTCACACTTGGAGGATGAGAATCATGTCTTGCGGCAAAAAACACTTAGTGCATCTCCAAAACGCAACCGTCCTGGTTTTGCAAAGTCGTTATCTGAAGTATGTTATCTACCTATAACCGCAATATATTTTTCTCTCTCTAAAAATTGATGTGCCAAAAGGTGGCTGTCATTTTTACTCAAATTGCTTGCTCTTATACCTTTCCTATAGCAACTTTGTGCACGTGCACACATGTATTTCTTTACATGTTCTGATGTGGGGAGGTTGAATAGCTTGTGCATTGTGGAGGCAATACATTATGATCCTTCTGTGTGCACACATGCAGATGTATGCATATGTCTGCTTGTTTCACCAATTCACTGTAGGTTATTCTCCTGTTAGTGTAACATAAGCTATTATCTTTTGTTAAACAGAAACACACTGGTGCTCTTGTTTCCCTGACTGATTGCAAGGCTGCTTTTGTAAGTTTTAAAAATGACTATTTTGTTTATTCATTTTGTTTTTCTTCCTATGAGGACAATTTGGTACATTATTTTGAATTTTCTTAATGCAAATTGTTTCCAGGAGTCACCCACACCTTCAAAACTCATTGCACCTTTGTCACATAGCATGTCAGATTCCCGTCGATCAAAATTAGTAGCAGACAGATACCAGGTTCTGAAGTCAAGTGTTCTTTTCTTTTAAGTTCTGAACCTTTATGTGATATTGAGATTGATAGTATGAAGATAAGCAGTAATTTTGAAGCAATGGACACCTTGATTTTATTGTTTAGTGCTGCACGGTTTTGCATTTACTTTGTTTAAGAATGTGATGTGTTTTTTGTGTGCAGGAGAACTATGAAATTCTGTCTAGGTGTATCAAAGAAAAATTGGGGTTCAATAATGGTAAACCTCTGGCAGCTTGTATGATATACAAATGTCTTCTTCGCTGGCATGCCTTCGAGTCTGAGAGGACAGCTATCTTTGACTTTATAATTGAAGGAATTAATGATGTTCTGAAGGTCAAGTACTGTCTTTAAGTATTTTTAACAACTTCTTCTTCACTTTAGCACATAGGACTCTAAATTAAGAATATAAAAATAAAATGGAATTTTTTCTATTAACTTGTTAATTTTTTATTTTTACTTAGGTCAGCTAACTTATTATTGCAGATGATGGTTGTCTCGTTTTGATTTAGGCATTTGCGGGTTATGGGCCCATCATGCTTCCATTTATTATTCACTAATTTATTGCCCACAATTGGGCTTTCATGTTTTGCTACACATGTAATGGGACGTGTTGAGTAACTAAGTTTGCTTTCATGATAACTAATCATTTCACGTGGTTACAAATGATAGAATTTTACTAATTGTATTTTAACAGGGTGAATAATGTTTATTTGTTTCTTTACCGGAGCTATGTAATTATTTGATAAGACTTTTGGGCTAGTGAAATTAGTTCTAGAACATGCTAATTAATATATTATTGTTGATGACTTATAAACTGATTTACCTTCCAGGTTGGAGAAGAGGATTCAGTTTTACCATATTGGCTGTCCAATGCTTCGGCACTGTTATGTCTTCTGCAGAGGAATTTGCGATCAAATAGTTTTCTAACTTCTGCTGCTCAACGTTCTGTGGGCTCTGCTGGGTTAGCCGGGAGGGTTGTATACGTGCGTCATGTTGAAAATTTTTGATATTTTCCTGAAGTTTTGGATGTTCTTTTCCACATAGTTTGCAGCATCAAACAAATCATGATTTTCTCAGTATTGCAGAAGAAAATTTACTAACATTGGTTTTGAATATTTCTGGAGAAACCTATTTTCGTTTTAGTTTTCATCTTCAATAATAAATTTCAACGTGCAAGTTGGTATCTGGAAAGATTACTATCCAAGGGATAGGAGCAGGAATATGAGAGGAAAGAAATGGGAGTTGGGATGTTTTCCATTCAGAAAACTTTTAACTCATTGGAACTTGTAATACGGGAAGCTGAGTCATAGTGAGACTGACATCAGCCCAGTTTCCCTCTGAAATTTTATTTTGTTAAGCCTTCCATTTTTACTCAATGATCAAGAGCTATTCCAGTGTTGACCAAATGGGTGTAAGCAACCTGTGTTTGGTTTGAGTTATTTCCTTCTTTCATCAATATCTCCTGTCCTCTGTCCTCCTATACTAAAATTAATGAAAGACAGAATTAAAATCAATTTCAATTCATTGAGATTGGCAACACTTTTAGATTTGGGTATTTTAATTTTAATTTCAATTTCATATCTCCTCACGAGATGTTTTCTGCACCTGCATTTATTTAAGTGTGCAATTTATTTGGTTCTCATGTGCACCTATTACTTGGATATAGGGTATTGCATTGTCTTATTTAAGTATTTCTTTGCAGATTACTTTAATTGGATGGTTTCTACCCACGCTTGATCTGACTCTTTGTTTATTCAACATCTCCAGGGCCTCAAATCGCCTTTTAAATTTATTGGATTTGATGATGGTACCTCACATGTAGAAGCTAGATATCCTGCTATTCTATTTAAGCAGCAACTGACTGCCTGCGTGGAGAAGATTTTTGGTTTGATTCGCGACAATTTGAAGAAAGAATTATCCCCACTGTTGGGTCTATGCATTCATGTAAGTTTCTATTAAGTATGCGGATGTGATGCGATTTGAGATTTGGATCCAATATTCAGTTAGCTTATCAATTATCATTTCTCTTATCTGTCTTAAATGTAGTTTCTTAGAAATGTTTTTGCAATAATGAGGCATTAAAACTGATAGTCTAACAAACTTTGCCCATGTAATTATTTTCCTAGTTCTATGCTTCCTGCTTAATTGATTGTCACATGGCTATCGATATATCTGTACTCATTTCAAATGATGAGTTGACAAAGTTCAAGTTTTTGATTTATTTGAGATGTTTAGTCATTAAGTTGTCTTGCTAGCTGGTGTTTTAAGTTGTAAATAGTAAAGTTGGTTGTTCTCCAATTTAAACTTTGGAATGATGTTCAACAAGCTGATTATTGATATGGAATCAGAGTGGAGATTTTGAGGTCAAACCCTATGAATCTCACTCTCTGTTATTAGCCATTTTATGGTCCTTAAGTAGGAGTTTGCTTAGAGGTTGTTAACACTTTTTGACTAGCATACTTTGTTTGTGTCTAGATCCTAGCCTGTGTGCCAACATACTTGCACCTGAGTGGATGCATTTGGTTCAATCTGGATCCTTTTCTGTCAGTTTGAGCTTTTATGATAATGGTCAACCAACCATTATGAGACATATCTTAGGAGTTGCATAAATAATTTGTTGATCTAGAGTATTATGGACTATTATATCAGAAAAAAAAAATCTAGGTATTGTGGACTAAGAGCGACTGAAGAATTTCTGTTTGTATTGTTGAATTGATTTACACCTGCTTGTATAATATTGAACTCTTTAATTAAAAAAAAGTAATAACATGTTTTAAGAAAATTAGGGATTTATGCTCCCTGTAAATTAGGAATTTACAAATAATAGAGAATATCTACAAAATAAAATCTGGAAAACTCTAGCATTTATTCTTGGCAATCGACATTCCCCCTTAAGATGGTTTGGAGATATCTCTCCTTCCTGTCATGCAGCGTAAGCTGTGAAGTTGCTTACTTTTTAAGTCTTTAATGGAAACATCAGCTAGTTGTTCGTTAGAAGTCACATGAAGGATATTTAGAATGCAACAATTTGTATTTTTTCTTCAGTGTAGTCCTGATCAATCTCAATGTTCTGGGTGTTATCATGTTGAAGTGGATTGGGAGCATTATTGGTAATAGCATTGTTATGACACTGTGACACTAGATTCTTCTCCTCTAACATTTTTGATTCATGCATCAACGTTTGGAGCTATGTTAATTCATACACACTGGCTTATAGCTCTATATTCAACTTCTAGAAAGGATCTTCTCGCTAATATGTCTCTTCTCCAAGTATCCAAAATTCCATCTATATATGTGCAATAGCCAAATTTAGACTTCCTAAGGTCTTGAGATTTAACCCAGTCTACATAATAAAACCTTTTCTCTTAATCTGACTATGCTTGGAGAAGATAGCCGTTTTCATCCAGTAGACTTTAGTCATGTCAGAATGCAGTATACTGTTTTAGATTTGGTTCTCAAGGATAATGCATGTATTGGCTTACCGCACTCACAACACTATTATCATGCCTAGTTGAGACAGGTCAATTTAATTTATCTTTGAAAAGGGTAGGGATGACAGGATCATAGCTATCAACCAAGGAGTCGTTGATGTTGATTTGGAAAGATTATCTAGAAGGTTTAGGAATTTCTTTTCTTTCCTTTTGATACCTACCAATCTAAACTGTGTTTACCAACTCCACCTTGTAGTTTATGTTTTTTCAGCAATAGAAGAATCTGTTGTTTTTTGATCCAAATCTACTAATTTCTTCAAGAAGCAGAAATGCCTTTATGTTTCTTTTTTTTTTCCAAAACTGGCAACCTTAATGCAAAAGAAATACTGTAGCTTCCCTAAGTCATTGATCTCGAATTCTTGAGCTAGGGCTTCTTTAGACTCTACGCTGCCTTCATATCATTCCTGGTCATTATTATATTGACAACATAGACAATGTGATGCTGAATCAATAAAGGAAAATAAATATTTTTGAGATAGTAAAAAGAATAGAAAATTTTATTTTTCTTTCTGATTTTCTATTTTAGTGTTTTACTTAATTAGGATTTTCTATTTAGTAGATTCTGTAGCTTGACTTGTGAATATATACTTTGGTTGTGTATTAGTATCTCTTAATAGGGTATGATATCTTAGTTATTGGGTAAACTATTCACGTAATTTATATTACATTGAGGTACTGTATTGTATTCAAACTCTTTTGTCTTGCATCACGGTGAGTAATCTTACCATTGTGATGTTTGAAGAACATGGTTTAATCAACATCACTTTGGTATTGCCTAAATGAGATCATAGCATTGCTGAATTTGTTGAAACATGCTTAATGGGATTGCTTTAATCTATAGTTTGCCTTCTTGAATTGACATATATGACCTTTATTGTTCTCAATGTTAAAGCCCTGAGGAATTTACATATAAATTTCTTCTAAATCTCCATGCAGAAGTGCATTCTTGAAATTAAGTTGTTGCCTATTCCAGTCAAGATTTGCTACACATGAAAATACGATTCTAATGTTGTTCGTTTCTGCTATGTGAGCTCTTTCGCAACCCGGCAGCCCTAGAATCTTTCAAGTATTCAATCAGACTTTTGTTTCAGTGGGAACAATTTGTAATTCTTTTATTTCTTTCCTGATTGGAAATCAGCAAATTCCCTAGTCTTGTCTTTTTGTCAAGGCTCTTATCTTATTCCTCATATCATCTTTTCTTTTCATGTTAGTCAGAGCCTCTTGCCAACCTTGTGGAATTGAAGCATAGCACAACAACAATCCAAGTGCTCTATAGTGATGGTGATTCATACAAGAGGAAATTAAGATGGAGCATATAGTGCTAGTTTGAGTTACTTTTGTAATAGCAATAGGAGTAAAGGTCATCAATGGTGGGATCAAAAGTTGAGTAAGAGTCGAAAAATGTTTCCTCAAGAGCTGAATTCAATGGTGGCATTTGACTTGTTAGAGCTTGCTTAATGGTATTGTGTTTGTGAGTGTAAGTTAGCAAATCTATCTTGTCTAGCCTTTCACTCGAGTTTTTCACCTTATTCATCGCTAGGGATTGTAACATTTATGGACGTTGAAGGACCAGGGAAATTTGTTGTAATCACATATATAAGAGTTCAGGGATCATTTTCTAAATCTAGTCCAGAGATGAAAATCCACATTTTTTTTGTATATAATAGATAGACCCATGTAGGGGCATGCATTGGTTTGTTATGTTCGTTTTGGTTTAAAAAATAGACCCAAAAAACTAACCAAACAAGGATTAAAACCAAAATCGAGCCGGCTCAACTCTTCATGTTCGTTTGGTTACAAAATGAAATAATCGAAAAAGCAAATTTTCCTATTTCTATACTTAGTTGTGTAATGGATATGGGAGTGGCTGACTAATAGTGCAAGAGTAAAGGACTGAGGAGGGAGGCTGACACTGAAGGTTGAAGGACAAAGGCGAAGCCGTGATTCCTGAAGGACAGTAAAAGACTGTGAGGGTTAGACATTGAGATGGTCGCTAGTGACAAAACTCAAGGAGAATGGAGGATGCAAGAGATTGTTAGTGGCGGTGGGTCGAGAGTAGTGTGCATAGAGAGAGACAATGGCTAACATAGGTTTTAGGGGGTTTGTATATGATTCATAACATACTATATATAATATGTAAAAATAAAGAAACATAAAAAAATAGGTTCAATTATTCATTCGGTTTTAGTTCCCAAGTATCGTAACAAAAACCAAAATTAGGTCCCTAGTAGGTTGAATTGAAAAACTAGTTCCAGATATCAGCTCCATGTGAACTGGTTTTTGGTTCCGATTTGGTTCTGCACACCCCTAATCCCATGTCATTCTAGTGCAATAATTTATGAAGGTTAAAGACCATGTATGACAAGACAATGACACAACTTGAGCAGATATCAGAGTGAATCGTTATAGAAAGATAGAATTTTTAGTATGAATAAGTGGATAAGAGTTCCTACATCACAAACCAATGAACTTAAATTGCAGTCTTCAAACTTGGTTGTATATAACTTTTCTAAAACATAAAAGATTTATTAGCTAAGTTCTTATGCAACTAGGTTAGTTGCTAGTTTGTAGACGTAGAACTTGCTAACATAGCTTGGGCATAGTAGGAATCAAAGATCTTGAGTTGATGAGAATGGTCTTCAAACATCTTCCAATTCCTTTTTAACCAAATTGTTAACAACCTCCCAAAAAAACCTCTTGCCAAAGAGATCTGGCTTTTTCCCTTACTTCAGCCCCCTAAAGATTTGAACTCATGAAACATTCAAATTGTGGTGGGGTGGGATGAGGGGTAATCCAAACTAACCCAAATATAGAAAATTGATTACCTAATTTCCTATGAAACTATATTAATATTGGTTAGTAGAGATAGAACTTCCCAATATTGCTTGGGTCTTTGGAGGAATCAAAGTATTGTTACCCTCCACCAGCATGTGTAGTTTGTTTTGCAGTCTTTCATACCATATTCAATATGATATGTGGAAAAAGAGAATATTACATTTTTTTTAAAGTAGTCATGGATACTATCAGTTCAGAAAATATTTGATTTTTACTCCAAATTGGATTTTGATCAAATTGTGTGTTATGAACACATTTATAAAACCTAAATAAGATGTTGAAGTTTAATTAAATACAAAATTTTAATTAGTATCAAATTCTTAAATAGTAAATATAAAATTCTAATTAATATTAGATTCCTAAATGACATGATTTTTCATTAATGTTGGATTCCTAAATAATATAAATTTTCAATAGTTTAATAAGATATTTCTAATTAGATTTAGATTCTTAATTAGATTAAAATTTTTAAATAAGAATTGTAGCATTTATATAAAGGAGTATACTTGTTATTAATAAAAATAAGTTAGAATATTATTTTAAATTACGAAATTGGAGTTATCTCTAACAAGGTTTAAGATAGTAAATTCATTTGATGAACTGTAATCTATTTTGTGAGTAATCTATTTTGTATCACTCAAAAAATCACAATAAGGAGAAGAAGTAGATTTTGGAACTGAAAATTCTACATAACCACCCAGTGTTAAGATCCTGGTCTCAGGAACATAACATTGTGTAAGTGGGGAATGACTGATCTCGTACTTGGATTTTTTTAGGAAAATTCAGATTAATCTACTGCAATTATCTATAAAAGAAAAAAAAACTATTTGGGCCTGAAATATCATAAATATTTGAAGGTCTCTAAATATTTTTATGAATTAAATTAAAAGGAAAATTGCTTCTTTTATTACTGGAAAAAAATTACATGTTTTGTTTTGTCAATTCACATACATCAAAGTGTAAATTCCATTATTGCAACTCGAAAAAAAAGAGGGAACCATAACCTAACGAATGGAGGATTAGGAAAAGGTACTAGTGGAAAATGTAATCCATGGTATCTTAGATGCATCCAGGAAGTATAACCCTTAAGCACATCACTTTATAATTAAGGTTTTGGGACAAGTTAGTTACTAATAGTAGATTGGTTCACAATTTAGGGACACATCAGCAAGCGTAAAATAAGGGTTGAGTTTTATGGTTTCATTTTGTGCTACTTTGGTTAGTGAACCATTAGCAATTAGGATTTTTTTTTTTTATTGTTGGAGCATGGAGGTATTTGCTAAAAATTGAGTGGAGTCGATCATGTGGTCTATGGCCTGTAAGTTTACAATCCATGATAATACAAAAGGCTTATTTGAGGTACTTAAATTATGAGATATAGAAAAGGTACCTGAATGGTCTAAGTAACAGGCACCTTTAGGTTTTCCGAGGCATTCATGTCTGAATCTCTTGCGTTCAATTTATGTCTTGAAATCACTAAGGTATATATTCTTTATAGTCCCTGAGGATGTGTAACATGTGCATGTCCTTGATTCTTTTTATATCTTCAATTATTGTTAGAGTTGTTAGGCCTTCCATGGAAGTTTGAACACTTCTCTTTGGTGTGCCAAGGTTGCTTGCAGAGAATACACCAAAGATTGTTTCTGTTCTCCCCACCTGTAGTTGTGATCTCATTATGATTTCTCTTTCTCTTTTTCGGCATGGTTTGGAGCCTTTAGATGTCATTATAGAGCTATTAGCAGTGCTGGGTCTAACATAACTCATCTCTTGCTTTTTTCTGCATTAACGAAAATATTACCTGATTCAGATATGACATCTCTTCTTTTTCAGTATTTGAATTCTCACCTGATCATACTTTTCATGTAGTCCTGCCATAAATTGGTATACTTTGCTTTTTCAACAATTCTTTTCAAAGCTGTTGCATGTTGCATGTTGATAATTTGGGACGTAATATCCAAGATGATTTAAAATTACTAGGGTAATTACGGCTGATTAGTTATGTTAAAGGAAAGAGATTCCTTGCTGGACATGGTCAACAGTGGCTTTGTGGCAGAGAACCTGCATAGCTGAAAGATATGTGTCTAGAGAGGCAGGCATGGGTAAAGGTTGCGTGGCTAATGGCTGCATGCAGGAGGGGCAAGTGTGGTTGCGTCTATGCGTCTGGTGGCTGCATGCAGGAGGTGCAGGTGCAGTTGAGTCTGCACAGCTGATGCCTGTGCATAGAGGGGCAGGGCAGCTGTGCTAACTATTGATTTGCACATCTAGATGGAGCAGATTGGTGGCTAGTTATGAAAGGTGACCTTGCTTAGGGTTTTTTTTTTCTTTTCTTTTTTAATTTCGAGAATGAATGCCGATTAGGGTTTTTGTGTTTTTCCTAAATCTTTCACACCATGTGGAAGAATAAGATGTATTTTATTATTGAATTAGATGATTATAGAAAAATATACTTTCCTAAATAATATGTACTTCCCAATATGATGGGATGTAGTTTTAAAATTAAGTTTCATCTGTGGTTGAACTAGCAGATAATGGAGGGGTGCAAGTAACATAGTTGTTTTAGTGATAAGGGGTAAAGATGTGTTAGGAACTACTTTAAGAATATGAGAATGATGTGTAGGTATTAGGATTATTGGAAGAGTCTATCCTATGTCGGAAGCTCCTGAATCTTTAACCTCTGGGTTATTTTGTTGTTTAAGATTAGCAAGAAAAATAGTACTTGGTTTGCTGAAATTGGAAGAGGCCATTGTGTTTGAATTTGAACCAAGTTGAGATAGATATCTTAATGCTTTTGTCTCTTCATCAGAGAAGTCCCTAGTGTTGGCAGTTTCTTTAGGACTTGGTGATTCAACCGTCTTAAGACATATTTGTTTGGGGCTTTATGGAACCACTTTTTATATCTATTTGATTCCTCGTTTTTTGCCATTAAATTTTTCAACATATTTCTCTTGTTTTGTTTACCTCAGTTTACCCTAATAATTACATGTCAGAGTTTTCTGTTAGAAGGATTCTGGTTATTGATCTTTTGTTGCTGATGAGACAAGCAAACAACTAACTCTGCTTTGTCAGCGATAATTGGATGTATCATTATCCTTGAGCAACTATCTTCAGTTGATAATACTATTAAGCTAATTGAAGAGAAGGTAAAGGATCCTTACTAAGAACTTGAACCCAAGTAAAGTCCATATTCCATGATAAAGCTGGCAAGAAAGTCAGACTTGTTCCTTGTCTATCAGCTTCTTGAACATTATGACAGCATTTGGACAAGCCACCTTGAAGTCTTGGTAGTAACCTACTTCCTGTAATAACCTACCCAACTCAGCAAAGGATTGGTCCATCTCCCCTTGCTTTGTTGTGTGCACCTTATTTTGTAAGTCGTAAATTTTTGGATCATTGCCAACTTGAAAACAAGTTTGAAATGCAACACTCTGGAGTTGATGGGAGATTCTTACTTTCCTATTGGTTGTCCAAGGGGTTAGCATTGGTTGATTTAGGTTTATCTCTAATTATGTATCGTTCTAGTCCTCAATTTTTGATTTATCACACAAGTTAGTTGGTCCATCAAGCTCCACATGACTAATTTGCAACAAAGGTTTTTCTCTCAACAGTGCCTTTAACACCTTTTTTCTCGTTATTCCTTCCTTGCCTTCCTGTTTCACCCCTTTGCTGAGAACGGGCACCTGATAATACGAAGCTGCAAGCAAGAGATGCTTAATCAGCATAGAGCCTTTGCAAAGTCTTCTATGATTGGAGCCAGGAACAAAGTAAGCTGGATGGGTTTTAGGAGACTTAGGAAGTATATGATGTCTCTTTTCTAGATCTGAGTGCTTTGGTTGCATCTTAGATTGAAGATGTGCTAGAGTGTTGTCAGTTTAGATAGGAGGAGTAGAGTTGATTGGTGGCAATCTCGAGCCACAGCTTTGACCTTGTTGAATTTGGGATTACGGACCAAAAAGGAGCAATTTTTGTCGTGTTGTTCTACTGATTCACATTTATTTATACAAGGCTTTTATAATGGGAAACTAAGTGTTGAAATGTAATAACATGTTCCCAGAAGTTAAGGATTTACAAATAAATTGAAGATATCTACTCAGTAAAATCTGAAATATTTCTTGGAAGTCAAACCTGGAATCTTCTGGCATTTGTTTGTGGCAGCTAACTTACTCTTTTCAGCCAAATGTTTTGTTATATCTGCAGACTTATGCTTAAGCACAGGATGATTCCCTGGATGCTCCAATGTTATGCTATTTCATTGTCACCGTCATATTAGCTCTTTTAAATAAACATTTTTTTTGAGTGGAATAGGGCTTTGAACATATTGATGGTTTTTACAGGCATATTTTTCGATTATGTTTTTTTCCAGTGGCTTAAAACATTTGTAGACTATATGCATTGTCTTTCCATTTGAAAATATTTTACTGGTAATATCTTTTGATTGAAATTAAACGTTTAACTTGTTGAAGGCTTGGGTCCAAGAACCATTATGTCATATATGAGTAGTACATTAACTCATAGCCTATTTCTGTTTTAATTTTGAAGGCACCCAAAACTACACGAGGAGTTGGTGGAAAATCATCAAGATCCCCCGGTGCCAATCTGCAGCAGTCATCAAATACTCAATGGGATAGCATCATCAAATTTTTGGATTCTCTTATGGCCCATTTACGGGAAAATCATGTATGTGCTATAACTTATTTTAATTAAGTAAAAATGGACCTGTAGGCCTTTATGCGTGATGATGGCTATTTGCTAATAGAATTGCGAAAACAAAGGAACATCTGTTGTTGACAATTTACTGTGTTCTCATGCATTTTTTATTTCAAAAGAAATATATTTTCATGCATTTTATACATTTCTCATAGAAACAATTCCATTGTTGCTTGTAATAACATTTGTTATTATGACCTAAATTAATTTCTTTGGAACTATGTTTTTCTATATCTGGTCGGGTAGTGTTGAAAAAAAGAATAAAAGTATGTTTGTCACATTCACATATTATTTTTTTTTTCCAAAATGGACTTCAAAAGCTGATTCTGAATTTGTTGTGCTAGGGATCTTGCTATATACCTTCCCTTTGTTTCTGCGAAAAAATTATTTGTTCTACATACTAGTTGCTGAGACTTAGCTCTACCTGATAAAAAAGTGATAATAAGAGTTTGTGGACTGTAGCCAAATCATCCACTGATGAATTTAATGCTAGTTGCTGAGAATTTGGCTCTATCTAATTTACAGAAGATGCATTAAGAATTTGTGAACTATAATTGGATCTTCTAAAGTTATTATTGTTTGTGTTTGTGTGGCATATTTGCTGATTTCTATGTTGAAATGATGAACACTATTTTCTAATCAACAAATCTTAATCATTTGAATTTCACCCATGTATTACTGGGGAGTTCATACGTGTTGTAATGAATAATCTATGTTGTAATGGAAGTAACTAAATCACCTGTGTACTGGGTACTAGGGAATTCAAACATGTGTTACAATGAAGGTAATTTGTTTAACTGAAGAAAGAGGAAATTGGGCTTTTATTGATTAGCTCGGTAAAATTGCTTCTTGTTTCTGAGTGTTATGCATTTGCTACATATTTGGGGTTGGAGGTTGGGGAGGGTGGAAGGGGGAGGGAGTGGATGGAGTTTGTACTAAGGGCAATATCTAACTTAAATTCTTTACTTATCACCTTTGTAACCCGTGTATGTTTAGGTACCGTCTTTCTTCATCCGTAAGCTCGTCACACAAGTTTTCTCTTTCATCAACATTTCACTTTTTAACAGGTAGGAGATTAAAATGTTTCTCCTTACCTTATTGATTAGTGTTTATTCCGTGATAACATTTTGAATTTAAAATTTTCTTAGTCTTCTCCTACGACGTGAATGTTGCACATTTTCAAATGGAGAATATGTGAAATCTGGTCTAGCCGAGCTGGAGAAATGGATAGCCAATGCAAAGGAGGAGGTAGACATTGTCTCAACTAGTTTAAATTACAAGTAGATAGGCTTGCCATTGCTTTGAAGTCTGAATCATTATAATATGTAATATGCAGTTTGCAGGAACCTCTTGGCATGAGCTAAACTATATTAGACAAGCTGTTGGATTTCTGGTATAAAGTCCAGCTATTCTGTTTGTTCTTTTATGATGTACAATAGAGATTCTTCTTTTGTTTCCTCATGTTTTCGGCAATTTATCTTAGGTAATACATCAGAAGAGGAAAAAGTCTCTGGAAGAGATCAAGCAGGATCTATGTCCAGTATGTTCTCTTCTCTTCCTCAAATCACTTTCATCCCTGGTGTCATTTTTAATATGTTCTTATTTTCGAGATGACAGGCGTTGACGGTCAGGCAAATCTATCGAATAAGTACTATGTACTGGGATGATAAATATGGCACCCAGAGTGTGTCAAATGAGGTAACTTGCAGTCCAAATACTTGTTTAATTTGGTCGATTGTCCTACATTCTGAACATTTTATGGTGTACAGGTGGTTGCTCAAATGAGGGAAATTTTGAACAAGGACAACCAAAATCTAACATCAAATTCATTCTTGTTGGATGATGATCTGAGGTATTAATTTTTCTTTTATGACCTTTTCTCAATAAAATGGAAATATCATTGTACGGCACAAGGAGTTGCAACCAAAGACCAATATATGCACATATGAGAATCCAAAATGTTAAGAAGGTTTCTCTAAATCCATATCAACATTGTTGGAACTTGCTCTTTAATAAAGTACTCAAGAGTTGAACCAGTATTCTCAATTCTCTTTAAATTGGAATAAACCTCAAAAATCAGATGAGCCACAAATAAATATAGAAATTAGATTGAGACATTCATTTCCTCTGTTTACAAGGTTTGATATCCGGCCAAGCACAAATGTCCTCCTTGATTGGCCAACAATCACCCTCAATTTAGAAAGCTTAAAGCAGAATCCCATAACCTTTTAGTCTCTGAGCACGTAGAGAAGATGAGTGGGAGATTCTTGTTAGTTCAAACACTTAGTGCAATCTTTTGACTAAAATTTCCTCTCTTCCTCAAGTTGCCTGTGGTGATTATTCTTTCCCAGGCTGCCTTCCAACCCCCTCAACCCCACAGAAAGAAAAAAGAAGCAATTTGGTGGGAGCCTTGCTTTTCTACATTTGCTTGGAGAGGAATCTAAAAACAAGGACATTCTGTGGGCATAAGTTATTTATACAAGGATTTCAGAAAGAACTTTATATCTTAAGCAAGCGGCCGCTGTGGATAATCTAATATGGTTTCAACTTGACACTTGGATAAAGTGCTATTAGCTTCAAAAGCTTAGCGGCTAACTTGCAATTGTGTATATCTATGGAGATTGATGTTGGTAACATGGCAATTGGCCTCAAGATCCATGAAGCCACATAGAGAACCTTCTTTCTTCCTAGACAAAATAAAAATTCCGAGAAAGAAAATACTCAAGGTAAAATGACTGCACCACTGATCATCCAAAAAACAACCTACTGCCCACTACCCACCTTAAATCACACCAAATCTGTGAGGATATTCCACCCGTTACAATCTGTCTCCATAATCTAGTGCGACAGTGCTATCTGTCCTTTTTTACTTTTCCAACCCCTTTTTTCAGCCCTTGCTTTGGATCACACCCCACCACATCTGATCCATGGAGGTCATGAATTTGACAACCACCTGGCAGGCAAAGACTTTCACCTTCGAAAAGTGGGTTCTTCATCCTATGAAAAGACACACTAGCACCAATTATCATCTGAGTCACCCCAAAGAAAAGGAATTTGCAACTAGCCAACCTCTTTTCCATCTTCAGGGACACCTTTCTCAAATGCCACAATCTTTAGGTCTAGCACCCAAATGCAAACCTCAAGTACTTTAATGCTTTGGTAAAACATACAGTACTCTGCTATGAGTCCTTCCCTAGAAGCTGCAAGCTTAGGTTTATCCATATGGATTGTAAGGCCAAAAGCTTCAAACAAGGACACGTTTGAGATTCAAAAGTTGCCTGCTATTTGGCTTGCAAAACTGGAGGGAGTCATTGGCGAAAAGTAAATGACTGACTTCTTGCCTCTACAATCTCTGCTCACCTTTGAAGCATGAATGAGATTCGATTGGCCTTCAATAACATCTTGTTGAAAGCCTCGATCATGAAAATATAAAGAAGAGGTGAAATTGTGTCCCTTTGAAGAAGGAGAAAGGTGAGTTGGCCCGCTATGGTCAGATAAGCTATGCATCTCCTAATTCTCTTCCTCCATCTATATTCTAACTCAATCTTCTTTAACAGATAGCCAAGACAAAGATAAATGGTCATAAGTTTCTTCATAACTTGCACAATAAACTTCTCTCAACAGTTTGAAGGATTGGGTCTACAACCTCATTAACGATCAAAATAGCATCCAGAATCTGATACCCCGCCATTCCCCCCACAAAAGTCATGTTGGGCTTCATTGACTCCTTGATCGATTACTGTTCTCAATCTTAGGGCAAGAACTTCAACAATTAATTTCAAGGATTCTTGGTACAGTAAGTGGTTTGTAGTCTATAATGGTCTGTACATGCTCCGCCATTGTTATCAAAACCCAAAAGGTAGAGTTAAGGAAAGCAATAAAGTTCCTATTATGATGAAACTGACAGAACAAAGAATGTCTCCTTGTATAGCATCCTAATTTCTCTCGAAAGATGCCATGAAAAGGCCATTTTGACCTAGGGCTTTATAGCCATTGCAACTTATCAATGTTTGGGGAGTCTTTTTTTCAGTGAAGCCCTCTCGAACCACCTCAATGTCACTATCTTTAAAGAAATGCCATCTAGCTTTTGTCTTGAGATTCAGATTCATTATGTACCTTTAGCCTGAAAAACTCAATGTCACACATCAATGTCTTTTTCAAGCCACCATTGCCCTTAAAAACAGCCCATCAGTAATATTCCTAGTCTTGATATTTTTCCTAGTTCCTCTAGTGGTGATTAGTTTTTAGATTCAGTGAAAAAGTTTCTTGCAGTCCCCTTCTCTCACACAGAGCAGTATTTACCTTTGTCTCCAAGCTGCATCCTCCTTTAGCATCCAATTAGCCAACTCTTTCCCTCATCTCCCATTTTTTTCTTATAGAAAACTTTAATTTCTTTCATTAATCTCCTTTTGCATCTCAGCCCCATTGTTAATATTGGAAGGCTAAGTGCCTAGAACCCTTAAAGCCTTAGATATTTTGAAATGGATATCGGTTGGCTTCCCATCGATGCAAGAACTTTTGGTTGGCTTGTGTTGGCCAAGGGTTTATTTTATTTATTTATTCAATCAAAACTTTTATGTTGCTTCGACTTGTTATTTTATTCGGAACAGGCTTTCATTCCGTTCTATCATCCTGATACTGTGATTGGTGTTATTTAACTATTCATGCATCAACCTAGTGTAGAAACTTCCAAATATTGATATTATTTTTATCTATGCTTCTTGTTACTAGGCAGTCTTCTTAGTATTAGGAAATTAATCGTCCTAGAAGTAGGACATCGGTTAAGGAACTCCACTAACAGGGATATTTGATTCGCTATAGTTAACTGGCTATTTTTTTTCTCTTTGTAATAGCTATATATACAGACATGTATATGTTCCTTCTCTATGAACAAAAAAATTTGGTTTTTTTTCTAAATTCCATATTTTATTATCTTGCCGAGTTGATTTTAGATTTGATTGCCCAGATTGGCCATAATTTGTTTTGCAGCATTCCATTCTCAGCTGAAGATATAGATAAGGCAATTCCTGCGTTTGATCCTTCAGATATTGAACTTCCAATTTTCCTCTCTGAATATCCATCTGGGCAGTTTCTGATCGAGCATCAAAAGTAAATATTGAGCTTTGGCACTTTTGATTACAAGTTTATGCCTTCCTGGTGCAAAAATGTGTTTGCTCCGTTACACATTGGTTTATATGGGCATTGATGAGGAGATATTAGGTAAGACATTTATCCACAGATTAATTGTAGAGTTAATCCCTGTAGAAAAAAGTAAGTCATTGTTTGGGGAATAGTCATTGTTTCTGTTTTTTCTTGGAAGGATGCTATTGTTTTTGGCGGAGTTATCCTTCCCAAGAGTGTACATGTCATATGCCCTCTGAACAAGATCCATGTTGTAGCTAATCAAATGATTTCGTATTTTGTAAATATCTTATCAATTGATAGTTTATTTGACTATCATAGCATTACATTGTCTCTGCTATTGTTACATATTTTCATGGCCTTGGAATGATTCTCACATTTCATCATTGTCCTCTTGGGTATTGCTTCTCGTCGGCTTTTATTATTATTATTATTATTCTTCTTCTTCTTCTTAATTTCTGGCCCGAACGGGCTTGTAATTGCACATGATCCATAACATAAAACTCCAAGCAAAGCCGAACTAGGTAGACATTCTTGGCCTCCGTTTTGCATGGTCTGTAACGATGATAGAGGGTTTATTTTTGGTTTTTATTCCCATAATTTTTTATTTACAAGCTTACGGTGATTTTAATTGATAGCATAGTTGATACGTTTTGTGTTTACTTTTTGAATGAAATCTCAGAAACTAGGATTAACCATAGAGTTCCAGTAACAGAATTAAACATAGTCTTTTACTCGGAATGTTCATTTACTCAAGGTGGCAGCTATACAGGGGGATTTGTATTGCATTCTTTTACTGAGATGCTAGCGCAAAGATCATGTAAGTTTAAAATACGTATTATTTGCATCATGGTGTCAAGATACCAAAATTGATAAGAACAGTAATAAGTTACTTCAATCAAACTTCTTTTGCTTCCTTATTTCCCGTATCTTAACATTAAATTGAATGATCAGTTATACCAAGTGTAGGTAATTAATTAATGGATTTATCTAGTAATTATGATTTTGCAAGATGTTGGGATTTAGTGAAGAACAAGTTTGATGTCGTTAATGCTTTTAAAGATATAAAAGGGGCATGAGATAGGACGATCAAAACATAATGAACAAAGAAAGAAAAAAAAATGAAAAGAGTAAGATCCCGAAAGTTAGGTCTTGGAATTACTAGTTATCACACACTGCGGCAAGTCAGCTACGGAGAAGGAACGCCAGGTAGCAAAAGTCTTCCTCGGCGGGGAGGATGAAGAAAAGTTCCCGTGAGAAGAAGCCCTACTTTGTGGGTACAATGGAGGAAGTCGTGAGGGAGACCTAGAGTCCGAGTCATTGCTCCCACTGCTGCTGCCGCTTCTGCTTATTATCCCAGACTCTGTCATGGCAACTGCTAGCGCCAAAGAACTTCTGCTTGGTCTCTTGGATATGTTTCGGTTCTTATCCCAAAAATGATTTATGGCAAGGAGATTTCTTCTTCTCCTGGAGTAGGCATTTTCTGGTTTTACAATGTCCTTAATTGATGAAGCTGAAGACGCCTCATCTAAATTTGTAAATGACTTAGATTTTCCGTTGCAAAATTTGGATATACCCTTCCTGCATTTTAAATTTTCCTTTCATCAATTCATACCCAAATACAGCGCCCAAATTTAGGTTTTAGGGTAAGAAAAGAAAAATACCTGGAAGGCAAAACCTCTTCTAGCGAATCCATCATATCCAACGGACCTCGGTACGAACTCTCTGCCTCATTTTCATCACAGTTCTCATCCTCCGATGACCTATCCCCTTCACTATCGCTATTCCTTCCGATCGAAGAAGTAGACGATGAGTTGCAACACTCCGGCTCATCCTCTCCGATCCTCCGCTCTGTATGAATCACCGGCTCGAATATGGAGGCAGATCCACAGGCGACGACGGAACCCAAGCCAGAAAGTTCGATCCGCTCGAATGCGAGCGACATGGGCAACAAACAAAATGAGAAAAGCAAAAGCAGGAGAGGAAATGTTGTTGTGGTTAATGGTCTATTAAGTTGAATTGAGAGTATTTGTATTGGTAATGTGGTGGGTGATGGTGATGAGAAGCGATAATAATAAATTAATGTTGAAAAGAAAGTTAAAAAGAAATGAAAGAGATAAGCATTGAAATAATGAATCAGGAAATTGAAGTGGAGAGAGAGGGAGGGAGGGTCTTGTCCTTATCCACTTCATGCTTTTATATTATATATAATTAAATATATTTTGTGGTGATTATATATATATATATTCCGTCTTTTAACGAGCCGTGTGTCTCTGTGCTTCAAAGCATATCCCAGTAAAGCTAAACAGGATTTGAGTCTTGAAAAAACTTTCAGACATTTTGTTGACCTTTTTCTGTATATACTTTCTTTGTATAAAAATTTTAAAATAAATACAAGATTTTAAGCTCTTATTTTCTTTACCATAATTAACTACTTTACTTTTTAGTTTATGAATTTTAGTACAATAATTATTTATACTATTTTTTTCATATTAAAAGGTTCAATTTTTTATTATATTAAAAAAATTAGCTTATTTTTTAAATAATTTACTTACTATAATTCCCACACCCATGTTTTATAATTTTTAATAAATTTTTTCTTTTTTTTTTTTTAAAAAAAATATAATTTTATGTATTAATAATGTTGAAAAGAAAATACCACCTGTAAATTGTACGGAATGATGTATTTTCAATTGATAAAATCAGAAACCTATTCGTTAAATTTGCAGGCCACGCTAGTTTTCTTCTTCTCTTTATAAGAAAAATACTATTTTAATCCTTTTTAGTCAAGACACAAAACACATATATAAGTTTTTTAATTTTAAAAATGACAAAACTAAATCTTTTCCATGCCCATATTTTTCATTGCTTAGATATATATGCATTTAAAATGTGTGTGTGGGTCCCCCTTGTCAGCAATCAATTTTTTTTTTATTTTTTTTTTGAAAGAAAACCGATATATTTAATTTCAAAAAAAAAACAAGATAAAAAAATTCCCAATCAATGAAATGCCACGTAGACACGTGCAGAGAAGATATGAATCACCGTGGCTCTTGGTCGGACCATGACGTGGCGCCGATGCAAATGAGAGGCTCTGCCTTATCCAGTCAAGTGGGACCCACTTAATCTATTTCTCTCACGCGTTTTTAAAATCGATAAATATATTCATAACTAAAAACTACATATTAATATATATATTTTTTAATTTAAGACTTTTTAAGTTTTCTACAAAGTTAATTTTTTTTTAAAAAAAATAAAGCATAGTGATATATATTAATTTTATTTTAAATAAAAATTTAAAATTTATATTTTTATAAAGTTAAATTCGTTAAAATATTATTATTATTATTTTTAAATAGGGAACAATTATAAAAGTTCCAATCTTATCACATAAAGTTAAAATGTGCCAAATACTACTGCATGAAATAATCTTCCATCTGAAGTTTTTTTAAAGATTTTTCAAAAATTTTATTCTTTTTTTAATAAAAAATTTTCAAAATATTTTCTTAAAGCGTATTGCCAAACCAAATTAAACCCCAGTTGAAAGTTGTTTGTGTAACGGTCCCGTAAATATTAAAATGAAATGAGTATTTAAATATATCAAATGCGGAAGCGAGATCAAAATTTCAGTTAACATCCCTTACACGAAAAACCAGAAACGTACTTAAAATATAAAAGATTAAACTAACTAAGAGAGAAACTCGAAAATAAAACTATGAGTATGACTACAGAGTCTCTAGGTATCCCCTTCGTCGTCCTCCTGCGGAACGGGCTCGGGAACCATGTCTTCCTGATCTGAAATGGTTAAATAAGGAGTGAGCTACACTAGCCCAGTAAGAACATCACGATATCTCACCGTCACGGAGGTAAAGGTGGGTAGAAAAACACAAAAAGACCAATGGAGCATAATTTACAATAAACTCGTTTATTAACATGAAAACCTTTACCATCCACTTACCTTGGTGGAATTTATGAAAACAATATGAGAAAAACAATAACATCATCATAATCATTGAATAATCTAAGCTGTAAAACATAACACTTATCACGCCTCTTGTAATTCAATCATTGTACAACATATCCTTTTTTCTCATTTACCAGCCTACTAGTATCCGTGGGGGTCCATAGGGGTTCCGCTACCCGTTAACCTTTAACATTCATAATCAGTTTCCAGGGCCGTCCCCATACCCCGTCCGGTATGGGCGCCAAAACCATGAACCTCAATACCCCGTCCGGTATGAGGGTGAAACGGGCCGTCCCCATACCCCGTCCGGTATGGGCGCCAAAACCATAAACCTCAATACCCCGTCCGGTATGAGGGTGAAACGGGCCGTCCCCATACCCCGTCCGGTATGGGCGCCAAAACCATAAGATCTCCATACCCCGTCCGGCATGTGAGACCACAATCCCGGTAGGGTTCCCTACGGACCCGGTCCGTC